CAATACGGTTTTGGCCAACAACAGCGAGATGATAATTATTGACGTCATTTTCAGACCAATATTTGTATAATAGCATCACGAGCTTAGTTGAGCAGAAGTACATGGCTATCAATCACACATGACCACATCAAATGTAAGAAACATAGACTCACTGTATCATCGAATGACGCAAACTCATGAGACAAAAGATAAAATGTGCCAAAAACATACAAACCAAAAATGAATGCAAAAATTATCTCATCTGAATAGTTTGTATGCATCACAAGTTGTTCTGGCATGGGGATTAGTTCTACACAAATCACCAACAGTGGTGTGATTTCTTGTGAATAAACTGTATTAGTCGCGCATAATCATTCCAAAGTAGTGTAATGAATCAGTTCGACTTTGTACGGACTCCAAATTGAACCTTAAAGCGCGGTGGTCGTCGCGCAGCGCGTGTTCGAATTTCATGTAAATAAACAATGTATTTTACACGCGTTGTATACGTCGCTATGAGTCCCATATCGAACAGGACGCGGCACGACGACTGCCGTCCTTTAATAAAGCACTGGCAGGACAGCCAGTCTTCACTTTTAGTGATAAAACATGTTTTGTGATTGCTAAAGGTTTCAGTAAAGCTTGTCTGAATAACAGATTGAACTGGACGGTGAATCTTAATCGGTTCATTATATTCTGAAACCCGTAGACGATATTGTCACCTGAAGACGCCATATGGAATCACTCCAGCTCCTTAAAACTGTAAAATGAACTTATTACAAAATCTAGAAGATCTGCCCAATATACACAGGACAGAAGTTTCAATGTATTTAAAAAAAAGTGCAAATCTCAAATGTAGTAATATTTTAGGGCTCCAGTATAAAATACGCCCTCGCCCGGTTGGGGCATTGCATAATAATACGGCAGATTCCCCACTGATAGAACGTACCTAAGACAAAACTACTATATTCTGAGACTATAATTACGAATCTCAAACGCTGGTTTGTAAGTCAGATTGTATTTTCAAATTTGACATTGTCTTCGTGTTTTATCATGCTGAATAGCACGTGCTTTTAATCGAGAAACAAACTTGACAATCGACCAAGTCTGAGAAAACTGCCAGTGGGTACACAAAATCAGAATGAAAAAAATGTAGTTGCAGACTCGAAACTCTTGGTTCATTTCTTCTGTCTGGTTTTCAGGTTTATCTGTATATCACATGCTTTGTAAGTTAACACATGTTACAAAATTTCAAAACAAGAAAAACAATACTTCAATAAAGGATGCTTGATGTTTTTATGTTTTACCTCGTGTAAACTGGCTTTCAAATTTAACCGTTTCATTTTTAGTTAGAACTGTATAAATCCAAATTAAAAATGTCTGTCTGTGATTTTCTTGGGAGGTTACTGTGTTTTAAAATCTTAGAGGACTGTGGTCGTTGCGCCATACATGCATGTACGAGAGTTGTGTTGATAAACATTGATTTTCCCAGCTTTTGTTATTCGAAGAATCTAAACAAACCTGATTGTTATAAGTTGACTAAAAGTATACTTCATGAAATGGATGAAAATTTACACTCCAGTATATATAAAAGTTAAAGAGGAAATCATTTTTTATAACAGTGTCATACTTTACCCATAATCCCTTGCTGGAGAATCAAGACGGTGGGTTACATGTACTGATGAAAAGTTGAATACATGTATATAGAAAATGAAATGTGATATCAAACATTCTCCTGTATTTGTGGAGCTGCTTCGATTGGGGGCGGCATGTTGTTGCCGAGACTTACACGTTAAATAAATTAGGTGATGTTGAATGTGAGTTTCAGTACATTTTAATAATATTTTGGCAATAAACATATATAAACTACATTCGTTTGTTAGCTTCTCAATCGCCAGCGATATCAGCGATCACAAATTTCAACTGGAATCCAGAAAGTCGGACCGCTGTGCAGTGGCAGTGCTGTCGCATACACGGTTGGGGTTGCACAGACGCCGCCAGCTGTACACACACTCTGGGCCACTCTCACCACAGGTATACACTGCTATAAAACTAAATAAACCAATATTTACGTTTACAAGGTGCACACATTCCACTAGGAATCTCGCTAGTTCGTTATTTCGCTAATTTGCCGCGCGCTCAGGAATAACTAGTTGATTACGTCTCTCTTTGAAATCGTCGATCTGCGCAGTACTCATAGTCGCCATATTTGTTCGTATTTGAGACCGATATCTCGCGCATGGGTGGCGCGACGACCAACGCTCTTTAAACGGTGAGTTCTGACTAGTACTTTGACAATGTACAAATGCGAGGTTTTTATATGATTTCATCCACTGATCCAGAAATTCGGTAGGGGCGCTCCTATTGACGTGGGCTGGGTTTGTCAATTGATTTCTCATTATTTTGTTGCCGGCTGAAGGGGGCGCCTCCCCCCAAATCCGCGCGTGTCATCTATGTCCATCATTTATTCGACAAAATAATTTTTTTGTGCGCGGAGTACAAATGTCGCAACAGTCAACGATTAAAACTGATTACACTTGCAATTATGTAATATTTCCAGTAACATCGCTGGCGGCGTTTGTTTTAATTTTAACGCTTCAAAAATGAAGAGCCAATGCTCCTGGGCACTGTTGTCACGGGAAACTGGTGCCATGGAAACATTTTATATAGTTTAACTGAGGCGCGGACAGTTTTTGGAGAGCTTGCAGCATTATTTGCTTTCAATACAATCATGGATATGGTTCCATGGCAACACATCTAACACTTCCAAGGCGTTCGACGCCATTCAACATGAATTACATCCTTATTGTGGCCATACTTAATTCATCTGTTATATCTTCAATGTTTTCCACAAGTGACCGTCACTTTAATGTTAAATTTACTCTCGGGAAACACTAGTGATGTGCTGTTAGCCCTCGGGTTTGTTGGATGTTTGATGAAACAGTACAAATGTGAATTTATTGAGGAGTGCTGCGGGTCAAATACAAAAATGAATAAGTATGAAAGCCGAAATCAATTAACATTTGGAACGAGTCCGAAAGGTCAAGCTTAGAGATCAAAGTGTAATGTTTTTAAGTCGACATTGAAACTTCCATGTGACAAATAACTAATTTCATTTTATCAGTAGTGTTTAGCAATACACGATAAAATAATAGACTACGAACATTTTTTTTTTCGTATATTTATTCATATACGATATATAATTTTCCATATCGTAATAATGTAATACTAATGTACATATTAGTGTACACAATTGCCATGACATTTTCTTTACGACCGAAGTATATACGGATGCATTCACCATGACAACGTAGAAAGCTATGCATATCTCTGTGGTTGCCCCCCCCCCGGGGGGGGGGGTAAAATCAGTGGCCATGTGAAAACGTAACATTGACTAATCAGTCTGTAAGCACTCATCGTATACTGAGGGATGTTTTTATTTGAGTGTTATATATGTTCTCATAAGTGTTAATTATTTGCAATTATATGCCTCGTGGCACTGATTGACGATAGAATCCATTCATTATCAAAAATGGGGGAGATCAGTGACCTTTTGAATCTTTCCTCATAAAATGTCAATATTTGTTATTATTTGAAAGGCTTGTATTCAACCCTCGTGGCAGCCCTTCAGTGCTACCCGCGGTGTTTGTATATTATTTCATTTCAGGCCTCAAACATTTTGTAGTGGTTACTTTCATTCTTTCTGAAATTAATAAAAAAAAAACAGAACCCCAAATCAAATATTGTACTGTTTTCCAAACACGGTCACTAATTTTGTCTAACAACGTGTATTGTAACAAAAAACGAGGAACCATCAAAGTGTGTGCATCGTGTTGCGACTTTTCATAGAACTCTTGACATTGTCAATTAATGCGCCCCTTTGGAACTGATAATCGAAACAGGCGGATATTACTAGTATCAGTTACATGCCCTATATCGTATATACCGATTGTCGAGAGTAAAATCTTTTGCAGTGAAAAACGATATTAGGTAAAAACGTCAACATCAAAAATCAAAATAAGTCAAAGCGTCGTTAGCGAGATATCAATGTGTTTTGACATGATATCATAACACGAAGAATCTTGACATGCTGAGACAAAATAGATTTGTTTGTTTTTTCTTTAAAAACAAACAAAACATGTGTGGTGCGATTTTTCAAATGTAACATAAAAAAAGTCGATCTACACATGCATAAACAAGATACTGGGCCGCCAACGACAGGCACATTTGTTCTCTTTATTTCTTTGCTTCAAAAAAAAATCCCAGCGCGCTCATTGAAACAGATCTATATCATTTGGCCCTCGTTAATTTTAAGGTTTTTTTTTTTTTTGCTTTTTTGTTTTTGTATGCGACTAAAAAAAGGTATAAATACAAAATAAATCTAGTAAACCAATATTATCTATTGTATTAATACGCCTATTTATCACCAGGAAGATATAATGTTTCGTAATAGTTTATTAAAATTTTCAATTCACGTCCGTCTGTTTTTGTCGTATCATTCAAGGTGTAATTTTAACAACGTTTACAATACGTATGACGTACAACCAGTAATATCTCGACACAATTGGCAGTAATTGAAAGACGAGCTAATCGTCCATATGACGATACTTAATACAAAGTCATGTATAGCGTTTGCCACTGACGTAATTTTGAAACGCGGTACAGCGCGTGAAATGTGGACAACCGTGCGCAGACGATAGAGACATTTCAACGCCAAATTCATGACTTCGCTGTGGCTTTTTCGGTGTTTCTTGTGAATCACAATGACATTTATTGTCTTAGCCTAGGCTAAAATTTTTGGGGAATAATTTCGCTATAACAGTTATAAACATGTTAGTCGCAATTAAATCATTTGTTTGTCGAACGTTATGCATAATTAATTACATTGCGCAATGTGTATTGACGTCATTTTTCATAAACCAAGAGTTACACAATAGGCTGGTATCGACTATGTTCTTTGATCTGTTAGTACAGGTGTCTCAGTTGCATGTTAAGCGAACTCGGAGAACGCATTTCAAACTAAAATGCATTGGCAGAACACGACACTTGACGAATCGTGGATAGACCACCAGCGTGACGACACGGTCACTCTTGCTGCTGATGGAGGCGGCATAGGCATCTTCGGCCGTGAGAATGCTTATTTCAAAAACACGTACTATATGACTCCAATTGTTATCGTAATTGTTACAATTTTCATTATTTGCGGCAATAGTTTGGTCTTGGCTGTTGTGTTCTTCGGGAAATCACTGTCTAATGCAAGCGGACGATTCACGGCATCTCTGGCGTGCGCAGATCTTGGCATCGGCGTTATAGTTACGCCTTTTTCCATTTACACCGCTGTTCTCAACGACTGGCCATATGGACACACTGTATGTATTATGGCTTCTTTTTTCACCGAACTTTTTTCGTGTATTTCTGTCTGTTCATTGGCGCTTATAGGAGTTGATCGCTACATTGCCGTTGTAAAACCCCTCAGATACCACGCATTGATGCCGCCTGAGACTGCACGGAACATCGTAATCATGACTTGGATCGCGGGCATCTGCCTCTGTAGCGCCACTCCTTTACAACTCGTCAAGACTATCTATTACGCCGATCTAATGGTCTGCAACGTTTCCTGGGAGACTGAATTAGTCTATTCTTTCGTCATGATCAGTATAGTCGCGATACCTGCCTTTGTCACCATAGCATTCACGTACTACCACATATTTCGCATCTCTTATAAAGCCGCCCGACAAATTGAATCAGAAGAACAACGCTTTCTTGGACCCAATTCCACATTAGGTACAAATAGGAGAAAGAACGCCATGAAATCATTTTTAATAGTGTTAGGTTTCTTTGTGTGCTGGAGTCCCTGGCTAGCACTTCAAATTCAAGAAAGTGCCGTCTTCGCTGCGAACGACGGTGAAGAACAGGAAAATGGAGAACACCCACATATCCCGGAATTACATTTTTTCTCCATGTGGTTGGCCTTCTCGAACAGCTTTCTTAACTGCATAA